CAGACAACCCCGTAACAATATGCGTTTTGTACTGCTGTTACACAGCACAAAACGCATAATAAGCAGTGAATCTGGGCAATCGGTAGTGTAGTATTCCTCTCAATTTCCGGCCAAATAATGGTTCGTTTACTCTGATAACGGGGTGAAAGCGAAGAGCGGTACAGCGACCAAAAGATCAGCTGTTAGTCACATATAAAATGAAGCTTACCGCGTCAGATGCAGGCGATCCCGCCATCACTTGACCAACCCGCGCAAATGGATTATTGCTTGTCCGGTGTACCGGCTTTTCATCCCTTCCTTCATCGTTACTGTAAAATGAGAAAATGATGATGAATTGCACTGAAATAAAAGATACCGCACAGTTAGTGGTGAATCTGTGGTGTTCGTAAGAAAGTGAGGAGGGGAAGGGAATAATGGGGAGAAGGAGCTCAAATGATTTATTGTTGTTGTTGCATCATGATTCCCTTCCAGTGGAATGGCGCGAAGCTGCCTGTTTCTGCGTTAAAGGAGTGTTTGGTGTGTTCTGCTGGCGGCCCCGACGACCAACGAAGGACGTGGACCCTCCTAGCCCGAATCATCGCCAAGGAACCGACGACTCGGTCAAGCGATCCGTGGAAGCGCCGGAGCACCGGGCCAGCGAACGAGACCTCCAAGGCCCCAGCCCAACACTGTCACTTGGTTGCGTTGAGGTTGAATTGAGAAGATGAAGCAACTCTACGGAAAATCTCTGCATCCTCAGCCACGTAATCGATGACTAATTGGTTCCGACAGCTTACTTCCCGTTTCGTTCACTTTCCAAGTGACTGCTTCCACAGGAGATGAATGTTAGTGTACGATCAGTGCTGCTATCACTTGCATTGCAGTGTATTTTTCTGTTCCACCATGCTCGAGCTCAGTTTTTAAGGGAGAAGAAGATGCGTGCTGGCGGTAACCTTGGCGACTGGTGGTTGCCCTGCCGCTTCTGCTCGTGCAATCTCAGCATTGCTTTCTCGATCTCATCGGTCAGCTTCTTGCGATCATTCTGCGCACAGATGATCGCATTTCGCGCTCGCCTCACCGAACACACATCAACACTTGAGATCGGGAAACCCTCGGCATCAACCAGACTCGTCGTCATATCTATATTGTTCTGTAAACAAACAAAAAAATAAGAACCCCAATGTGTCGCAATGAAATTCACAAATTACTCCAATACTGATCAAAGCAGACAGAAAAAAATGCGGAGAATCAAGTTACAAAACAGCAGAGCTATTCCAAGTAACTCAGCTATTATCGTCATTATCATTATTACTATTACTGTGAATATTATCACTATTATCATCATCAGCACTATTAACATTATTAAATGGTTGCTACTCCCAGCAGTTTCCTGTTTTGATGACCGAATTATTATATAAATAGTCTATGTATTATTATCGGAGCACTGCTTATTGTTACAATTATTACTATTCCATGCTTATTTTTGCTTTTGTAAAGCGTGCGCTTTAGGACTGAACGAACGAACTACGTGTGATTCAAGCAATGTTGAAACAGGCGTTCTCACGTTCTGAAAGTACATTATGCGAAATGCCGGAGAGATCATGCGAGAGGCAAATGCAGCAGCAAAGAGCCTACATTTTTGAGTACCATCTCCTCGGCAGCGATACGTCGATCGAGCTCATCCCTCTGCGCGATCAGCTTCTTCACCGCATCGATCGTCATCTCGTCGCCGTCCCCGAACTGCTCAGCCGCCATCTCACACTGCGAAAACCTGAACGGCAACAAGCAATCATTCAATTTTGCGAATTTTCCGATACGAACACACACATACACACACATATTTATATATTATTTTACTTGTACTGACTCGTAATCTACTCACAGCTCATCGTACAAAACCCACTACTACGGAATTACAATCTAATGCAATTTCACAATGCAAAAGGCTCTCTGCGACACAGAGAAGCCGATTCTGAGGTCAGAATTTATCGCAATGAAAACAGGCAGTAAGTGTATGTGTGTGTGTGTGTGTGTGTGTGTGTGCGTGTGTGTGTGTGCGTGTGTGTGTGTGTGTGTGTGTGTGTGTGTGTGTGTGTACACGAACTTCACGATCATCAGTAAAAACACAGTGACCTGCAGACAGAGCAGCACTGTTTGAGGGAACTAGAAAAGTTGCTGGTCGCAAACATAGGCGGATCCAGGACGGCCTTCTGGGGTGCCAGAGGGGAGGGAGTGAGGTTTCTGGTGAGGCATGGGGGAGATGTGACAGGGGGTGCGGAAGAGAGTTTTCTTCAGTTTCAGCTTTAGACCCACACTTCTGTAGCACTGATGCCTGTACCCCTGGGGGAAGCGAATGGCCCAATCGCCCTCTCCCGGACCAGCCCAAGCCCGCCAAACTTCGGAACCCCGCCGTGGCGAGCACCAACTAAGCAATACACCAAAGTGTCAAATCAGAACACCTAAGATATCTCGCAAATCGAGCACAAACCGACTGTCCTGCTCCGTCCATTCGTTGTTTGCTTGAGTTGGCTTCATGCCAATTCTGGATGGGTGGTCTGTGGAGGGGTCTGGGGATCTCTCGGAATTGGGGGGTGGCTGAGGTGCTCTTTTTTTCCGAGACTGCAGTCATCTCAGACGGTGTTACCCCGAACTGGCATGCTCGGTTCCATGGCCTTCGAGAGCGGCTCATCCATTGGCATCCAGATGGCGCTTAGATTGTGTTTGCTACCATCGGGCAGTCGATGCGGTGCCGGTGATGCTACTGGGATGCTCTCACATACAACACGCATCTGTGTCAGGCCTTTCGACCCCTGGGCTGCCTGCCTGCCTGCGCATGTCTTCAAAAAAACTGCCTGGATGGCTGTTCTGCGATATCACATTATCGCTTTTTCTTGCCTAATTTCAGAAGGCAACTATTTCACACTGATTTATTGTCTCTCGTCCCGCCCTCTTCCAGCAAATTGCACTTTTGGTTCAATCTTTGGACAGCCTACCCTCTGTGAGCGTGTAACTGCTGTGGAGTGTGGTGTGGCTGTGTGGTGAAATGCTTTTTTCAGCACTCCGACCGGGCTCCTTATTGCATCTGAAGACGTCTTCACTTGCGCTGTTATCAGCGGTGCGCCAATTCGATCGCCGTGTGGCACCGCCGCAGCAAGCAGTGCGTCGAGGACTCGTTTTGCTGGTGAGCTCTCTTGTTGCGCTTGTCCTGGCGCTGATTGGGCTTGAAATCATTGCAAGTTGCCGTTCGTTTCCTTTGCAGCGTGTTC